GTTCAAGGCGAGTGCCTTAAAAACTTCTACGAGTGTCGTAAAGACTATTAACGCGAGTTGCGTACACTACTTTACCTACGACCGTTTTTTAATTACTTTCATTTATTTTTGGACTTCCACCAACTTAATTAAGAATACGCGAGTATCAACATGAACAAGTCGGATCAACAATTAAATTGGTCAACTGATCAGCTGATTAGTTGACGTTCGAAGCATTACAATTTTAATTCTTTTCTCTCAATACTTGAACCTCATTGGTCCGTTACCTGTGTGGATATGAGAAACGCAGAGGATACGCGTCCGGTAACCGGGCGTGGATTAGGCGTCCGGCAGTTACTGTCATAACCTAACCTAACCAACCAAACTTGCTGATAGTGAAAAAAATCAAATGAAGGTTCAATTCTCATCATAACATAAAATTATAAATGCCAAAAATTCTACTAACAAAAGATGTACAGTTAAGAAGAAATTACATTCAAAGAAAAATCTGTGACAAAAAGTTAAAGCTACCGATAGGTTTCGAACCGGGGTCCTCTCGCATATCAGTCGTGCACTCTATCCACTACACCACGAACACTGATGGCTGAATATCGTATCATTGTGGTAATGGCGTTCCGGGACCCCCTACCGGACGCCTAATCCACGTCTGGTTACCGGACGCCTAATCCACGTCCGGTTACCGGACGCGTATCCTCTGTGTATGAGAAAACTATGCGGGTATGAAATGAAACTATGCGGATATGAAAGTAAACAGCTGTAAAGTGAAACTTTTCAATTCTAAGAACTGGACTGAAATGGCTACTTTAAAAAACGGTCGTAGGTAAAGATTTATTCCACATTTTCTTTGTAAATTAATAACATATGTATGAGATTTGTATTGTAAATTTATTGCAATTTGAGATTTATTGTAGTGTTTAATCAATATTTAGTATGAAGTGGAATTCAAACGGCTACTCTTAGAAAATATCCTGGAAATAAAGAGGGAGTACAGGAAATATATTTTTTATTTAAGCAAGTACACAATGACAAGTTCCCAATAGGCGGGAAAACAATATTGTTTGGAGATTTTAAACAGACTGTTGCTCTATCAAAAAATGTCAAAGTAATATAGCCTAGCATGTATGGTAATACCATTTTTTAATATTAGAATTTGTTTTACATTATTGAGCTTTTTAGGGACTTATGTCCCTACAAGCCACTAGTTATCATCTGTAATTATTTACATAATAAGTACTGTAACTGATTAAAGATATAATGCTCCGCGATCTTATAAGCCAATCATCGATGTCCGGTAAGAACATCAACTCTCGGCTTTTCAAACAATGTCTGCTTATTTGAATTTTATATGATAACAATTAAGCGCTGAAGTTTGGAAGTCTTGTACTTGGGGCCCAAAAATCACTCCGAGAACCAACGGATATAAAGGTGTCTTTGTTAAATCTCACTATTTAATATGAAAAATGTTTGCAACATATTCAATGTATTGCTTAAAATATTATCTTTTAACTCAAGACAATTTCGTTTTTATTTGTATACACTTAAATTATTGATAAATATATCAACTACAGTGGATAACTAGCGGTGGCAAAGCAAACTGCTAGCGCTACATTTGTCAGTGGCGAATACACAAACTGCTAGTAGAGTTACCTCTCATCGCCGCAGAGGCGCTAGCTGTTTCGATCTTCCGGATCTTCCTGCTCCTCAGTTCAGTTGAGTTGAGATTACAAAGATGTAATTAAAATTAAATCATTGACTATATAACACTAATGATTAAATACACCCACCGCAGCAAACCTGCAGACTGAGACTAAGCAAAATTGATTTTAAATTAAATATCTATCATTTCAGCCTCTGGATTGCTTATATAATCAAATAAATAGTAAAGTCTTACCTTAACAATCCTTATTATTGTGGTCCGATATTAATTTCAAACCCGTAGGTTCATCATCAGTCGGAAGATTTAGGTAGACCAAATTTGTTATAAAATCCACCCGATGGGTTCCGTAGAAAAGTTGACATTTAACACGAAGACACACATTACAGTTGACATAAATAATATTCGTAGTTTAGGGATAAAAACCATGGTTTTATAAAACAGTGGGAACCTCACTTCAGTCAGGGAACACGCTGCCGGCAGAACTATATTTTGACAGTTCTGCCGGCAGCGTGTTCCCTGACTGAAGTGAGGTTATCCCACTGTTTTATAAAACCATGGTTTTTATCCCTAAACTACGAATATTATTTATGTCAACTGTAATGTGTGTCTTCGTGTTAAATGTCAACTTTTCTACGAAACCCATCGGGTGGATTTTATAACAAATTTGGTCTACCTAAATCTTCCGACTGATGATGAACCTACGGGTTTGAAATTAATATCGGACCACAATAATAAGGATTGTTAAGGTAAGACTTTACTATTTATTTTATTAAATTAAATCTATTTAAATAACATAAGGTTTGGCTTAGTACTTTTTCTTTGAAATGGCGACCATACAATGGTAGGTATTTTAAGCCAAGTATGAATGGAGTAATGGAGGTGAATGACGCGATCTTGTAGTCTTGTTAGTGACTTAGGCACTTAGGCAGACATATTCCTTAGACACAGCTGTTAATTAATACAGCTAATGGCAACTAAGGGACCTACAGTTTATAGTGAAATCTGAACCACATTTTTGCCTTGGTATCAACGAATTGGTCTAATTTACAGGAAAGCACTGCGCATAACGTGCCTAGGGTTACTGCTACAGGGAGGGCAATAAAGTGTGTTTTGTTTATACAATATTAGTTGGTTAGTATAAAATGAATAAATTTGCCAAGTTTTATCAAAATATTTCTATAAACAAGCTTACAAAATTCTCCATAAGAGTAACATGGGAATTTTAAATTTGAAATTTTTTTAATTTTCTCCTTGCCTTAAACCTTACAAAAAACTTTACTAAATTATTTGTTTTTTAAGCTTTTTAAAATGATCTAGAGAGAAATTGGGAAATTTTAATGATAAATTAATTTTAATGAAATAATATTTCATTTCAATATTTCATTTCATTTCATAGAGAGAAATTGGGAAATTTTGTGTTTTGGTCAAAATGAGGAAAACTAAATTAATTCCCTGGTGCTCCGCCCCAATGACCTTCCCTCCCCAGATTAGTTTGCATTATGGGTATATGGATAATTTTTCACTACTTTTTATGAAACAGCTGTTAATATTTAAATTGTTTTTTTAACAACACACATTAGGGAGTTGAATTAGTCAAAAATAAGTATTTGCAATATTATTTTCTGATTAAAATTTTTTTCTGCATCATGTCTGTCTGCACATGCAATATAAAGTTTCATTAGGAAATCAATGGAAAATCTCAATATCTCAGTAACTCTCAAAATTATTTCTTATTAAATTTTCTTATATCTATATCTATTGTACGGGTTGGTGTCTGCCCTTTTTTTACCACTTTTGCCTATATTTGATCATGTAATTCAAGACAGATCATCATTGGGTACAGTATTATTAGATTTGGCAACACCACTGGTTTTAACCATTAATGGAGAAGCTAATTAAGAAATGACTCAAGCCAAAGCAGCTAGAATAGAGGGAATTTTTACTCAAAAGATCTAAATAGTTGACTTTAAACACCCAGAGGCGGATTTGAAGATTTGGTGCCCCTTGGCTATCTACAATTGCCCCCCCCCCCCGCCACTTTTTTATTGAAGTGGGAAGGAAATCAAATAGTTAATGGTGGAAAAAAAACTTACTGGTTTGATTCGAGGTGTTTAATTTTGTTATGCAAATTTTAGTCAATTGAAATAACATAACTTACATGTTCGGCGACAGTATTTTCATTAATACTGTTACTGTTACTTTATGTACAGAATCAGAATGGAATAAAGAAAACTTCTTTGATTTTCAAAATACATAAAATTATTCTCTCTCTCTCAATTATGTACTCATAAGTTTCACAGTGGCGGTCCCAGAATTTCAATTTCGGGGGGGAGGGGAAGACCATAGATAATAAAATATAAAATACTAGCTGGCCCGACAGACGTCGTCCTGTCCTAATGTGGTTTTATGTCAATGCTCGTTCATTTTCAAGATGAGCTCGTTCCCATGGCTTAATCAATGGTTGAAGTTCATTTGCTACGCTTACTCGCCTCCAGGTTGAAGTTCGTTCGCTACGCTCACTCACCTTTTGGTTGCAAATTAGCTGTTGTCATAAATGAAAAAAAATAATAGTGCTGTACCCTGTTGATAAACCTATTAACTTTTTAATGCTATTGAACATCACAGAATCAAATTGTTTAGTTGAACCAGCTGTTAAGATTCTTTAATTCCATTTAAATATGAGTACTCATAAGGTTAACATGGGAAACTCCAGAGCCACTGGGGCGGGGCCCTTGACGGATCTGCACCAAACTTCACAATGTTGTGTGATGTTACTGGAGGTTAAATGTGGAAAAGTTTTATCATTACAGTACGTCTGATTAAGTAGTTACTTTTATATTTAATTTTCAATCCTCGACTTTCCTGGCTAAGAAGTTTAATTTTCATTCAAGCTAAATATATTTTACAAATTTCAAACTAAAAAAACATACTTCTAAAATAACATACTTCTAAATTTGTTGCCCTGGGCTGCGGACCCCACCCTAAATCCACCACTGTATACACATATTGAATTGCAACCTTGTAATTGGGTCACAACCAGTAATTGATTTCATCACAGTACTCTTTGAACTAGACTTTTTAGTTCAACAAGTTTTTCATAGGGGGGAAAGAGAGGGGGTATTATCCACCCCTAGCTACTTTGGCCAACAAAAGGTTAAGAGCAACAAAAAAAGAATAGAACATATTTTGCTTTTAAAAATATAGCTATAGACAAAATTATCTGCACAGTGTACAAACTGTTTAAATTTTCCTTATACTGTAGATTGCACAGTGACTGCTCAGTAAAAAAAAAAAAAAAAAAAAAACTAGATCAGGATTTCTTAGATGAAAACAAGTAAAAGAGTAGTTTATTAATTACATGATTTAATTTTCATTTTATGATTTTTTACAAAAGAACAATCTTAACTTAAATAAAACTTGTCTTTATCACCACCTTCGTGCTGGACCTTCTCATGACGAGGCACTGAAAACAAAAAAACCTTGTTAAACCTTAAATAATATTACAAGATATTCTTAGTGTCATTCCATCAATGCGTTGCTTATTTCTGCAAGAAAGTTTGTGTTCTGTTTCAGAAAAATCTTTATTGTTATGCTACAACAACAGAATAAAAACCGAACTCAGAACTCCCACTCAACCAATTAAAAGTTGCGTATGAATCTGCTAGAGTCTACAGCAGAATCAACGTACGGCTGTCGGCTATCACTGGCTGATAGGCTAAGCCTGATGAGAGGGCTGTTAAGGTCCAATTCCTTGAGCCGCACAGCTGAAATAAATGACTGCTTTAATGCAAAGTAAATGCACCCGATTCCTATCGAGCGTCTACAGCCACGCGGCTGTAACAAATTTATAGTTTAACATACGGAGTTCGTGGTGTGCATCTTCATAGATGATGGAACTGGTTTGTCACCACCCATTCGTTTTCAACCCCAAGAATCCCCAATACTTCAAGGAGAAGTCTCTGAATGAGAAAATACTCTTAAATCCCTTTTTACCAAAGTACCTTTTTACCCTTTGTACCATGAACAATGGATTAGGTTGTTCGTTGTTTTTTACCATTCACATTCACATTAATATTTTCTTTTCCTCCTCTTCTCCAAGTAATATTTTCGCTGCCAACTGTGACGGTCAAGAGTGCAATTGCACTAGTCACTAGTCGTGGGAGTCGCAGCATAGGAATTAAGACAAGCGTCTCGAGCCGTACAGCTCTAAACGCGCGGCTCAACAGTCGCAGGATAGGAATTGGACCTTTAGTTGGAGAGATAACTAATGTCACTACCATTGCTATGAGCTGATCATTTATACAAGTGAAACGTCAACTTTTAAAGAAGCCACAGTGACATCAGCGCTCCTAGATTCAGTTGTAGATAGCAAATTAAAACACAAGGTTTTTTGGCTCAGTAAAGAGTTCTGGATCGGATCAAATTAACTCTGTGGTATATAACACATGTTTTACAAAGCTAGAGAATAAATAGTTGTTACAATGTAAAAAAGTACACCTCAATGTCTGCTGCTCAACTTTGTGGGGCCTATATTTAAAAAAAAATTTAGATGATGAATGTAGGGATTTTAGTTTTTTGGTGAATTACAGTTGCAAGAAATTAACAACTGGATGTAACAAAAAATTATCAAAAGACAGCAAAAATTGTAACAAAAAAAAGTAAAGACATGTTTTATCCAGAGTTCATTTTCCTACTACTGGCTATTGAAGATTACTAGGCATGCAGCCTCAGGTCCGCCAATTGAGCGGAGTAAGCAAGCTTTGATATAAACAAATAACTTTAATTTGTTTTCATGATTCAAATTGAATACATGATTACGTCACCATAGCAACAATCCCATTGAATTCTCGTGGTTGGTTGGAAGAGTTGAAGGAAATATGAATCCAGTCAGCTGTTTCTATTAGGTCATTGATTTTTACTTGTATATATGAGTAATAGTAAAACTGTGTGTTTGTAATAGCATAAAGATAAGTATTATTTTGTCAATATCCAAATGTTTGTTTAGCTCCCATTTATGTAATAGGCCTCTAGGCTTCCTTCTCATTTTCTCCAACTAAAACATTCAGCCAATTAGTAAACTTTGCTCAGCGAACAGAATGACAGAAGAAGGTGACTATATATAGCAATACCATAGTCATTGGTCACCACAGGAAATAAGGCGTGGCTAATTTCACGAGCTGATGATACCCTGAAAAAGATGCTGGTTGCCGCGATGCTAGTGGCATTGAATTGGTGACGTTTGCGCTAGCTCCGCCCCGTTGCCAAAATAGGCCTACTGTACTCAATAAATAGGTTAGATTTTAAAGACTGCACTGGATAGAGAATTGATGAATTAAACAAGAATATATTTATTCCTCATGCTAAATTACAGCATGATTAAATAAAATACTGTATATGCATAATAAACTAATGTACAACCAAATTATTAAAATCAAATATAAAAGACGTTTAATCTAATCGTCGTTAACAGTTCCCACACTCCGGACTACTCGCCTTTACTACTTCCTTCGCCACTTCCTACGCCGCGGACCTATTTCCCTCCATTCCCATAGCATTTTAAGATTGTGGATACCTTAATCTAATCGTCATAAACAGTTCCCACACTCCGGACCGCTCACCTTTACTGCTTCCATCACGACTTTCTACGTTACGGACATGTTTCCCCCCCTTCCCATAGCATTTTAGGATAACAGATACCTTAATCTAATCGTCATTAACAGTTCCCACACACCGGACTACTCGCCTTTACTACTTCCTTCACCACTTCCTACGCCGCGGACCTGTTTCCCTCCCTTCCCATAGCATTTTAGAATTGTAGATACCTTAATATAATCGTCATTAATAGTTCCCACACTCCGGACTACTCGCCTTTACTACTTCCTTCACCATTTCCTACGCCGCGGACCTGTTTTTCTCCCTTCCCATAGCATTTTAGGATAACAAATACCTTAATCTAATCGTCATAAACATTTCCCACACTCCGGACTACTCACCTCTACTACTTCCTTCACCACTTCATACGTCGCGGACCTGTTTCCCTCCCTTCCCATAGCATTTTAAGATTGTAGATACCTTAATCTAATCGTCATTAATAGTTCACACACTCCGGACAACTCGCCCTTACTACTTCCTTCACCATTTCCTACGTCGCGGACCTGTTTCCCTCTCTTCCCATAGCATTTTAGGATTGTAGATACCTTAATCTAATCGTCATAAACAGTTCCCACACTCCGGACCGCTCACCTTTACTGCTTCCTTCACGACTTCCTACGTCGCGGACCTGTTTCCCTCCCTTTCCATATCATATTAGGATAACAGATACCTTAATCTAATCGTCATAAACATTTACCACACTCCGGACTAATATTTACCACAAAACTAATAACAACAAATAAAAGAAATAATCTGCTTGGAATAATTCAGTAAGGCCGCCAGAAATTATGCGAATCGGTGTATTGTTAATCAACGCTTAATGGTATTCATCGGACTCCTTTTCTTTTGTACTGTCTTTTGTAAATAGGCCATATGTGCTTGTGCAAGCTGAGTTGCCCGTGGGTACAGAATGTCGAGTCGCATACGCTACGATTCTTTGTTTACATCTACGTTGTTATCTCGTAACCATCATGGCAACTCATAAGACTCATGTTAAACATTGCAAATTTTATGTCAGTCTTAAATTGTACAGGTATCATCAAAATGAAATTTGTTTGTTTCAAAACATCAAAAATATTTGTCAAAATACCCCTGGTAAGTTTGGATTCAATATGTTCAGCCATTATTTAGTTAATTGATTACATAGTTTGCATAAGGTCCGATCTCAAAGAGCTTCGCTCGCTCCGCTCAATTAATTAATTAAGTTAATAAGTTAATTAAATAAAAAACTATTTCATGTTGAATATCCTCTGATTCTGTTATGACGACCGGTTTCGTGACGACGATCACATCATCAGGTCATTCCTCGTAGATGATTCGTTATAAGTACACCGTACACCGTTTGTGTTTACCGAACACAAAACACATTACATTTACAAAGTATTTACAGGTAGATACCATCGCGATGTGTGCATGCTTAAGTCGAGCCGGCCGGTTTGCAATGGTTTCTGTCGGTAAGAACTAGTGTACTTAACGAATCTTTCTACGAGGATTAACCTGATGATGTGACCGTCATCACGAAACTGGTTGTCATAACAGAAAGGATATTGAACAGGTAACAGTTTATTTAATAATGTTTTTATTCATAAGGTAAAAAGGTTTATTCACAAGGTAAACAAGTAAGAAAGTCTATCCCTCATACTTAATAAAAAAATACAGTAGGGATTAGGCCTAAGGGAATGATAATAACCCAAGACTATCTTTTGACTTTATCATAGTAACTTAAATTTGAGTGTCCCAAAATGGTAAATTTTGGAGGAAATTTAAAACTTATAAGCAATAGGTATGCTGGTACGGTATAACATTTTAAATGTTTGCTATGGATTTAGATTGTACATTTATACATATTTTTTGGCACTTTGTTTTTATCTATCTAGCTGGTTTGGAGATGATCAGTAAAAGTGAATGGAAAATAACTGTAGAAAACGTTGAGCAAAAATCTCTAAAACAGTTCTACAGTAAGTCAATATTCTATTTGACAATCATGATTTGAAATAAAACTTTTTTAATGTGTTTGAAAACATACACATAACATATTTTTATTATTGTTAAACTATGTTAAAAATGGATCCACAAATATTTGAAAAACTAACAATTTTTATAGGCTGTAAATATAGGTATATATATTTGAATTTTGAATTACAACTGTCTATCGGACTTGACCTAATTGTACTTAAGTAACTTTTGTTCTAATTGGTTATTTGAAAAGCTGTACCTGTTTTTTGCATAGTGTGCCGATTCAAGAAGATGACTTAGAATAGTTGGCTGCAATGTAGTGATATAAGACGACCAACAGGAATAACGAAACACCCAAGATGTTTGCGAAGACAGACAGCTGTATGTCGGTTATCATTCTGAAACAAAATCAACTGAGAGTTAAAACAGAAGGTACACTCTGTGAATAGAATTAGCCATGAATTAAGCTTAAAATAAGGGAGTCATTACCCAAGTTAAGTTTTTATATAGTTTTTGTCGAGATATACAACTTGTATTATTTCTTAAACCGATTTTGAACTAGGCCTATTATAAAATTTCCATTTGCCTGATTGGATTTACACTAAAATGTCTCCTTAAAAATATCACATTATTTTATTCCCCATTTAAATAGAGTTAGTTTTAACGAGTAGGCTACTTGGGCTTGCTGCAACAGGAAGGGTAAAAAAGTATTTTTTGTTGTAAAATGTTAATAGTTTAGTGAGAAATGAATGTATTTTCCATATTCGATGAAATATGTTCATAAACAAGCAAACTACAACAGTTGACTTATTCTCCATAAGAATAACATGGGAATTTTAAATTTACAATTTTTTGGAATTTTCTCCGTAACCATAAGGCGCACAATAACGCTTCAATACTAATTTATTTGTTTTTTAAGCTCTACAAAATGATTTGGAAAGAAATTGTGAAATTTTTTGTTTTTAGGGTCATAAATGGGAAAAACCTATTTTTACCCCATAAAACCCCGTTGCCATAGTCCGATTATGCTGGTTCGCAAACTCATCCACTAATAAAAAAAAGTGGACAGTAGAAAAGTAAATAGGCTAGTGACAGGACAAAGGTTTGAACTGCTCCCTTAGGGCTACACGGCAGGGTTGTCACCTTAGGTCAGGAAAAAATCGGGACATTGACCCCTCCCTCCCGGATTTACGTAGGCTTAAACACAGTCATAAGGAACCAAAATCGGGACTGTCCCGGCAGAATCGGAACGGGTGGCAACCCTGCTACATGGCTACACAAAATAAATACTGACAATGGCGTGGATAAAGAGGAAAAAATAAGAACCTAGTAAGTTACCTACCGGTAGCTTTCTATAACAAACACAAAACTAAAGCCATATTTTCTAAAGACATTAACGTCACTGTGCAAAGTTATTAAGTGTATTATTTTACCAAACCTGCATTTCATCTTATCTTGTTTAGCCTACTCCTCTTCCCTAAGACTCTCCATCCATGAAACTGGTTGGTTACCATTATGTGTTTTGATATTTATAAACTAGGCTACTTTTAGGACGGTAGGACGTAAAACCCAATAATACAGTTTTATAGGATTCGAATTTGAAATATTTTCATAGGACTGTGAAGCCGGCAATCAACAATCAACTAGGCTAGGACTACCTAGTTTGAGGCAACAGTCAACAACAACTTGAGTTTAAACATGCAAAGTACACAAATTACCCTCACCTTAGTCTGTGATACTAAACTGGCAGAGGCAGAGACGTTATCTCGTGTAAAAAATAATACAATTTAATGCAAAACTAGAAGTGAAGAGCCGACCTTTTTCGCCTCTACAGATAACGATTTCCTTTTCTTTGACGTTTGTTTGTGTCTGTCTATGTCTACGTGTGACGTGTGGGTGTTCGTGATTTGACGTTTAGATTTTTTTCTTCTCTCAAACGCATGGCAATGACTAGTTTAAATGATTACCATGGAACCTTTTAGTTCATAGTGGTGTGTATAGTATGTTTTAAACTACAGTTTACTTAATTTCAATGCTAAAACTATAGATTGAGGAGTATGTTTAATCTATGCTAAACCGTACCTTAAGCCTTGTTTAAATAAGTTCGGCATTCAAAGAAATCAAATGAATTTATTAGGTCGAGTAGGCATACTTACAATGTACTTCAAAGTTATACCTATGGTTATGCTTAGGCCTAACATATTTTTAGAACTTCTATCTTGTCACACACCAAGGCCCCACTAGAAAAAAGTTTTTAGAAAAGTTTTTCTATTGGGGCCTTGCACACACACAGCTTAAAATCTCCTTCAGTGGTGACTGTTGGTGGGTAGTGTTGGTTAGTCTATGGTAGTATCATAGATGAAACATACAGGTAGTATACTCGTTTATAAATGGAAGTGGATTGTTTAGGAATTTTACAGTTGATTGCGGAGTGCAAGGGATAAATGCAGGGAATGAGAGTCGACATACAACTTTTGGAAAGGTTTTGCCAGACAAATGACAGAGTCTCAAGGATGCAGATGGAGGGAAAGGTTAAATTCCAAACCTCCTTACAAGAATGGCGACGTGGGAGGGAGAAAATGGTTCTTACTGTGTTCTTCTGAAGCCTAAACAAGAAAAGTGTTCTTTGATTTTCAGCACCCCAAATCGGCAGAGCATATGAAAGAAAAGGATATATCAACCCGTAGTAGGCTGAAATAAGACCATCAGTATTAGCAGTTCTGGACAAAGTACGCAGGACGAAGAACATGGGCGCCCGCAAGATTTGGAACAGGGGGATGCAATATACATAACGAACGAACGTCTGGGGGGGGTCTGGGGCCTTGGTGTTTAATTGTGCTTGAGGGAAGGTTGTTAAAACAGAAGTAAATACCCGATAACAGTTGATAACAGAAGGAAATATTCTGTTATAAACCTGTTAATTTACTATGTTTACTGTATAATTCAATTTATAATTTGTTGTCTTATAATAATTGTTATTGATAATTTTCTGTTTTAGCGAATTTCCCTATAGGGAAGTAGCTATTACCGTAGGTGGCACGGTAACACCTAGACCCGGGACCGATTTACTTTTTCATTTTGATGTCCCCAGAGGCCAAAAACACCATTCGTTCAAATTTGTCCGAGAACGCGATAACTTGAGTAATTTTTGTCCGATTTTGATGAAATTTGGTTTAAAGGTGTAAAGTGGGATAAACTTGAATGAGTTCGCGAACCAGCACGATCGGACCATGGGAACAGGGCTTTACGGGGGGTTTTGGGGTAAAAATTGGGGTTTCTCACTTTTGACCCTCAAAACACAAAATTTCCCAATTTCTCTTTAGAACTTTTTAAAGAGCTTAAAAAACAAATAATTTATTATATAAAAGTATTTTTGTTCGATTATTAGTAACGGAAAAAAATTAAAAAAAATTGTAAATTTAAAATTCCCATGTTATTCTTATGGAGAATATTGTCAAATGTTGTAGTTTGCTTGTTTATGGATATATTTTGATCAAACTTGGCAAATGTATTTATTTTGTACTAAGCTATCAATATTTTACTCAAAACACACACTTTATTAGTTTCCTTGTAGCAGCAAACCTAGGTACTCGTTAAACCTAATGTTATTAAAACATATTTAACTGAAAATAAATTCAGACAAATGGAAATTCGCTTAGTCGGCAGGTTTGCTGCGGCGGGGGTATTTAATATGCATGCTTATTGTTTTCAAACTTATCGCAAATTATGTACCTACTCTCATTAATGACAAATGGTGCATTGCCATGAATAAATAAATAAATAAATTTATTAAATCATAATATTACCCATTTCGTGAGTCAACTTAATTGTTGTTATTTTGTACGAGGATTATCAGCAGGTATAGTGCAGTGTAAGTCAATTTACATATTAATTTATATTGATTTAGTTACATTTAATTTCCCACATTGATTAAACATCTGCTAGGGTACATAATCAATGCTTCTTGCATGCAAGTTCTGTTATATATTGTTACTTCTTTCTCTATGAATGTTTATCCTAAAATTAGACTAGACGTCAAAATCGAGAACAGCAACCAGCAACGGCAGCAACCAGTGTTGCCACTTTTAGGGTAATTACCCTTTTTTAGGGTAATTTACTGGTCTTAGGGTAAAGTTTAGGGTAATGGTAAATTTAGGGTAATTTTAGGGTAAAACTAAAAGTTAGCATAACAATGGAAATTTTACTAAAAAAATGAGAAAACTTCAAAATTTGGCAAAAAAACGTTCATTAAATACTATGGCCAAACCATCATATTCGATTCAAATCGGTTTAAATCGATTGCTATCATGAATTTTTTATAATAAGTTAGGGCCTATCCTAATCGATCTTATCAATAGTTGGGAATTATCTGTTTTAGAATGTATTCGATTCTATAACACGTTATAGGCCTAATAATATATGAAATATTATTCATTACTGGGTTTGATATTTAATTATGTGGCTGAATTGAATTAAACTGGATTATTTTACAAATTGTGTCAAGAAATTACTACTACTATGTATAGATTAAAGCTTTGGTGGTACCGTACTGTATTTTAAAGATATGATTGTCCAAAACCAGTAGTAATGGGTCGATACAGTAAAAAAATGCGATAGTTCTTGATTCGATATTTTTCGCTATAGTCGATAGAGCTGATCAATATCAACATTTTGTTCTTCTTTCGGGTGGTTTTTTTATAGAATCGAGTATAATTTTACGTAAATTGATTGATATTGGAACTTCATTTAGTATAATTAACCACCTTATGTAGGATTTATATGATTTTAACAATGTTTTATAGCATTAAACGCAAATATTAACATTTAGGGTAATTTTTAGGGTAACTCAAAGTAGATTTAGGGTAATTTAGGGTAATTTTAGCCCGCCTTTAGGGTAAAATCGCAGCAACGTGGTGGCAACACTGGCAGCAACAGACAACAGGTTTACGTTTTGTCCTCTAGTTTTGTGTTGTGTATGTCGACTTAGAATATCAACCCTTCTAATTTGTTTTTATGTTTATTTTGTGAATTTTTTTAATGTATTAGTTGAAAATAAGTGATTATGGTTTGTAACCTTTGCATCGAGATTCTTGGACCAGCTTTGGCAATGACCACTTTTTAGCATTCCCCTACAAAGTGTTTTGTAAAATGCTAAGACCTAATCAACATTACAGTTGTTTACAGTATTTTGTTCTTCAAAGATGAAGATAAATGAACTCAGCTAATACTGTATTTCTAGTGTGTTCAAAATAACTAATACAACACAGTCATTATTTATTAGATAATGTTAAATTAAAGCTTAATTATGGCGGCAAGCAATCTGCAGAAACAAGCATCAAAAGATGTGCCTGGTGGTATACCAAGCAAAGAAGAGTGCATTTACACATCTCATTACTGTGAGGAGAATATCTGGATGCTCGTAAAAAAAATTCAAGAGATCAACCCAGAAAATTTACCTAATTGCTTCGTTGTGTTTATTTCAAATGAAAATAAATACATACCATTATGGAGGCAATCCTCAAGCAAACATGAAAACGGGCTAGTCGTGTGGGATTATCATGTTATAATGGTGTATTACAATGGCATCAAATCATGGGTCTATGACTTGGACACACAACTTTCGTTTCCATCACAGTTTAGTGAATACAGTAAAGAGACTTTCAAATCAGACGACTTTCTGAATCCGCTCTGCCACAGGTTCTACCGAGTTGTACCAGCTGAAAGCTTCTTAAAATATTTCTCCTCTGACCGAAGAGATATGAAGAATGAAGATTCGTCATGGAAAATGCCACCTCCTCCTTATCCTCCTATAAGAAGTTGTGAGGATATTCACAACCTCCCTCATTACACGTCTATGAAAGCAAGCAACGATTCCGGCCTAATAAGTAAGTTTGGCAATGTCTTCAATTTAAAAGACTTTATAGACAGATTTACATGCAAGAAAAGTCCAGATGTGAACTATATGTATCCACCAGACCCCTTGCAACCAAGTTGGATGGCTTAACTTAAGAGTTTTATAGGCCTATAGATTTCAAATTCTTGAGCTCTAGGCTAATGTTAAATTTGAATTTAATGTGGTTAGTAGTTTACAGCATTTAAAGACCATAAAAGCTGTGCTAAATTGTACCTAACAAACAAAATATCCCTTGATAAATACAAAAATCAAACAATGCTCATAACAGTAGCCTAAGTTAATTATTTTAAGTTTCATTTGCATTGTTCTGTGTTAAACTTAAGTAATTTTGATTCCCTGTAATAAAAATAGGATATTTTAAAATGCTTTCTCACAGTCAAAAGCTTTACCTAACTTACTACCTACTTCTAACATATAGACCTAAATAATTACAAGCAGCTAAACTGCTACAGTAGGTACATTACAATTTGGCTTCCTGTATAATAGTTCAGTGATGCGATACATAACACAAGTTCACCAATTTAAACACTATTGTAAAATGGTGTTTGCCGTACATGTATTAAATTAATAAAATAAATTACACAGGCTTACAAAGTCTTTTGGGTTTATTAGCCTAATTTATTTGAAAACATCCATTTCTTACGACTGTCTCCACATGTTGATCCTAAAAGGCGGTATTACTTGTCATAATCCTTTTAGCCCATTGTTCACGCTATGAGCAGTTGACTGAAGTAGAAGTGCGGAGTCCGCTCTCCTTTTGTATTAGGCAATTTAATGCTGTTTTCCTAGAAGCGGTGTTTTCCATTGAAATCGCTTCCACGCCTAGGTTGGGTGCCTGACTCCAAGAAACTGCAACTTAACTTACATAATCTTCTCTTTCATTACCTACCTTTTTTTCTGGGTAGTCCGTATAACAGGGTATACAACTACCCACTAACAGTCCCTGCCCAAGGAGATTTTAAGCTGTGTGTGTGACATGATAGAAGTTCTAAAAATAGGTTTGGCCTAAGTAGAACTTTGAAGTAGGCACGGTACATTGTAGGTTATTCAGCCTAATCAACTCATTTGATTCCTTTGAATACCAAACTTAATTTTAACAGGGCTTAAGGTACGTTTTAACATTGAAAATAAAAAAAAAATCATCAATAGGTAATTCTATCTACTTGCTCAAAGTCACCAAGTTTTTGTAAACTGTAGTTTAGAGATTATTTTGGAAAACTAGTTTGATACGGTTGAAAATAGTTTAACATTGTAAGACAATGTTATTTTTGTTAAAGTGATTTTATATGCGTAATTAAAACACCTACCTATCACATTTAGTCTGCACAATTTTGTTGCCGGAGAACATTAAAATAATACATAAATGCATAAACATAAACATGGTACATGAATAAATGTCATATAAAAAATCACTCTTTAGGCTATGTTCACAAATGTAGGAAATCTATCACTGAATTTAATTATTGTTATTTATTAAAACAAAAGTTGTTCTGAAAGGCAGTAGTTGTAGGTACTGGGAAACGCTTTATAAATAAGACATTTTTGATCAATTGTCTGTTACTGTACCTGAAATGATTGGGATTCCGGCAAAAGAATTTGGAATTAGAGGACTGATGGGTATTGGTCTCCTTAGAGAGTGCCATTTGAACCACTGTTACATTTCAGGCAATTGTTTAGTTGATAAACTCTTTACAAGAAAATCTCCTCTATTTGCAGATCACCCATACCTGGTATTAAAATTATCCTTGTCATAATTGATTTATACGTTAATTTTTCGGCACTTTTGTATTATATGGAGGCCACTTATTTTAGAAGGATTTTTTTACCGGAGATAAAAAATAGCTACCGTAGGCTACATAATTTGAAAGAACATACTTTAATTGACTTACTGTCCAAATTTGACATGATTACGAATTGTGGCCTAAGAGTTCTGCCTCCTAGAAGGCAGCGATGTCGGCAAGGATTGAGTTGAATGCGTCGCTGCCACATGTACTCCGCCAAGTAGGTATACAGTGCGCTGTGGCGGTTATGTTAGGTTGGGTTATCGTTATCATAAATATGTTTGTAGGACTTTTCTCGTTTCGTTATGAATCGAACGATACCAGATGAGTCATCTTTTAAGACACTGATACTGGCGGTGACAGGTGCTGCTCGTGCTCTGGTCATGACCTGACCTTGGCCTTCTTGGAGGGGATTTGGCGGGCAAAAGTGTATCGTTCGATTTATAACGAAACAAGTCCTACAAACATATTTGATAACCCAACCTAACATAACCGCCGCAGCGTGCAAGGGTGGACTCCCTATAACACGAAAGTACCAATTTTTCAGTAGACCCTTTCTTTGGATTAAAAGACATATTTTTATTGTTTATTTAGTGCATCTGACTTAGCTGCTGAGACAACCTTAAAACAACGTTAATTTTACCAAATGAAATATACCTAACCAACTTTGACATCAAACTCACAACTTTGGATCACTTTTAGCACAAGAACCAATAGCATTTCTTCATTCAGCGGATTAAATACTTAAAAAATGAGCTAGATGGAAAATACTCATGATTTTTGTACATCCTTTACCATTATGTGTTTGTTTTATATTTAACCTTTACAATTATTTCATAAGAAGATACATTGTTTTAAATAGTTTAAATTTGTTCTTCTAAGAAGAAATTATTTTATCATTTTGATATTTGATTGTATTTCCAATGGAAAACATAAGGAATCACTCGGTTCTTTTGAAAATAGGCTACTTAGGCCTAGAATATGGTGCTAAATGTTTTATTTTAAGCTTATACATTTGTATTTGCTCTAGATAATAATTGGTCAAGCTACTAAAAATTCAGTTCTATCCTTCAAAAAATATTTGATCCGTAATGTAGTTATTATCATATTTTGTTGATCATATATGTTTGAAGATCATGACAGGTACCTAATTAATTATATCATAGTGTAATTGTTTATCATATTTTGATGATCATATGTTTTAAGATCATGGCAGGTATAGGCCTACCATAGTTATTTATAGTGTCACTGGCTACAAACAAGAAGCCTACTACAAGAAGTGAGAACATACAATGTTGCTTGTACTTAATACAATTGTTAAGTGTCTCTGTTACATCCCTAAGGATTTTCTCCCTTCCTACTTAACTGATTGTTACGATTGAGACAAGTTTGTAACCCATAAAAGTCACAATTTATGCACACGCCCCCAACCATATAACTTGTCACAAAAAATTGGTTTGTCATTTACAAGAATGCATTTTTTATCTCCAAATTTCATTGGAAGGGATAATTAAAAAAAAAAAAATTAAAGAGGTTGGCAGCCTCTTTAACCTTGCATTTTTCTGTCCACATAGGCTATGAACCTGTGCGTGGAACATATCCAGCAAAGTAAGGGGTGAGCCGGTACAGTGCATAAAATGTACTGATAAAAAGAAGTAACAGTGACCAGGATTCGAACCCACAACATCTCTGCCTTGGGCCATTGACTTACCTTTGAGTACTGTATTACCATAACAGTGACAATTGGGTAGGGGGTAGCATGTGTCCAAATTAGAAAAAATCATGAAATTATTACATCCTTGTCTTGTCTAATAGCCCGTAACAGGTTTAGTTTTTAGCTCTTGTAAAAACATTATTTGAATGTTTAATTTAATGGGAAAAAAGGAAAAAAATGCTCAAGTAGTCTTCCAATAGTAGTGAAATATAAAATGACTTTTGGCACCTTATTAACAATCTCAATGGTTTAAGTGATCAAAATAATGTATAATGGTATTAATGTATGCTGTACCCTAATGTTGTGATATATGTTTATTTTTGTTGATATGTGTCAAATACATTTATTTATGTTATATTATGTGTTTGAATTTCATCCTTGTAATTCTAGATCTGATAAAAATTCTGGTAATTTAATTTATTTTTCCTACAGTTACCTAACAATGTACATGTTCTCTCACTGATTTGAGAAAGCAAAGTGGCCAATTCGCTCATCAGTGAGACAATGTTAACATTGTCTTACTCTATTTACTTTGTCTCACTCCAGATTTGCAACGTGAAGGCACGAAATAGTGAGCGCGTAACATGCAGTCAACGTCGTATGCGCGCGAAATACGTTGGCAGCACTGGCTGTAAATCAGCTGGTCAGCTGTTGTACTGTTGTATTTGTCACTTCGCATTAAATGTTATGTTAAAAGTTCACTTCTGTGTAAAAATAGGTTATGTTTCTTCACCAATTTATTTGTTTTATGGTAACTGTAGGAAAAGTATAATGTGCAACTCGAGTTCAAAGTACAATTGCCTCACTCGAGAAACCATTCCTCACTCGCCTACGGCTAGTGAGTAAGGATTTCTCTCGAGTGAGTCAATTGCTCACTTTTCTCACTAGTTGCACAAATAACTACTACAACAAAGTAAGAGCGCCTTTCCACAATCAAATGTTAACTCTCTTTTTCATTATGGTTACATTTTTAATTTTTCTTCCAATTACATAGCTTAGTGGAGACATTTATTATACTACAGATAATTATTTCAATGTGTTGTTCCCCAGTAAATTTGTAATGTCTAAGCTATTGTAATAAATATCGTTTAAATATTACAAAAAACCGAGCACTTGGTTTTTTGTCAAATAGGCATTTATTTAAACACTAAAATGCAACTAGGTTTCAAATAGGATTCCACTGAAATCTCACTGTTTTCAAATTACTCAATTAAGCACTCATACCATTGAAATGCAATGAAATTAAATAAAATCATCTTCAATCTGTGGTGTACTTTTTAAAACTTCCAAAGGCAAAGGAGGGAGCTTAAGAAAAAAACAGATAAAATTTCTCTAAGGATTTATTAAATATTTGGCACAATGGTTTGTATAGAAGAAAACATGCACTTGTAGTGACATAAGAAAAATTGGCACAAAAACAAAATATCACAATCTATGCTGGAAGGCTTTTAAAGGAAGACAAGAAAAATTAGAATAAAATATTACTGACAAAGTAATATTTACAATGCAAAATAAAGAAAGCCAACATCTTTATGCTAATTAACGTGCCAATAGAGTAACAATAAAAGGCTAAGTGTACAAATCTCACAAGTTTCATTTAGATTCTTAACAATTTTCCCTATGCTAAATGTCAACAATATTGAATATGTATGATGGATGAATGAAAGGGATTTGTGATGGGCTTAAACTCAACGTCGGTGCTGATGAAGTAAGCTTTGAGGCCTTCCAACTTCTTCTTCTAATTCTTCCTCCTCCTCCTCTTCTTCTTCTTCTTCCTCCTCTTCCTCTTCTTCTTCAGCTACTACTTGCCTCGAATTATCTTTCTTTGTTGCCATCAAAACCTGAGGTTTGCTTATGATTTCGTCTTCATCTTCTTCAAGTTCTTCTTCATACTCTTCGTCATCCTGAATCAAATATAGTAAGACACTATTTGAGACATCTACTTTAAAATCATGGAATTAATTATTAATAGATGAATCTACTTACACAGCGAGATTAGATTTTTATATATACACACATAACTAAATTTAAGGGGAATGCATTATTTTTTTTACTAGTATGAATTGATAAGGTGGTGCCACCTAGGTGTGTATTTGAACCCAAATACGAGTAAAGGATGAGTTATTGTTTCACTGTTGCTCTTCTCTTTATTTCAACAACGTCATAGCTTCTCTAACGCCAGGCCAAAGTAATCGTCTTTGACAATCTTATTTCTCATGATCGCAACAATAAGTGAGATTATATGCCGCGAACACTGCAATGCCCGTAATGATTTCTTGCGATGTTGAATTACCATAATCATACCTTGCAATCGCCGCAACATGTGAGATGATTTTTGGCGATCGCAGCAATACTTTGATCAATACTTGCAATAGCGGGAACATCAGAATTACAGAAACGTTATGAGAATCTCACACGATAGGCGAGTTCTGTGATAACTTCTCGCGATCGCAGACACATAGGTGATGTCAAAGAATCAAGGCGAAATTTGTGATAAATTCTCACAATCATTGCAACACACGTGATTTCTTGCGATTGCGGCAAATTTAATTTTCCAGCCATTGAGTCAACATCTTCGATTTGTCACGATTTCATACTATAATTTTACACGGTGATCTTGAAGAGACTTATTGATTTCTGGACATCATGGCAACATCCCCAATCATCTCTAGTGATTATTTTTCAACCCACACCCGTGATCATCCAACACCAACTTTGTGATCACGGCCATATCTCCAATCTCACCAGACCTACCTTGCAATTGTTGCAAAATTCATAATGATCTCCTGGGATTGTAGCTTCAGCCGTGATCATTTCCTGCAACCGCGGTAAAGTCCGTGATAATTTATTATGATGGGGGCATTGTCCATGATTCGCAATTTTCAATCACCCAAAACAAGAAAAATCAGAAATTTTTTGGCAAAAAACTATACAAAATTTACGTAGATTCCCGATTTTCAGGTCGGTTAGACACCCTGATACTGACAAGCCTTGTATTTGTTTATTTACTGTAAGTACATTGAATTTTTCTTATACTTACGTCATGGTGAGGTTCCATAGTCGATATGTCTGCCGCTGTTTCATCCCCTAGACCTGCTGCGGCACTCGCTGCAATCAAAGCATTTATGTCAAAATATCAAAACACAGTCACATGCCAATCCATGCCTCTACAAATAGAAAAGTGTAACAACCGGTTATGCTTTCTGTTGGCAAAATCAATATTTACTTCCAAAATGGCATTATACCTATAACATTTCGATGGATTAATTATTGTTTGTGTGAAATTTCATCTCAAATTTTCTAGTAGATTGTACGAGAACAACAAGAAAGACACCTAACTTTAAAACAGTAATGATTTAACAATCTTACTGTTAATTATAAAAATTCCAGATATATTAAGGTGTTGTAAAAAAGTCTTTATCCTCATTATACTGTATGTGTACCTTATGCAAGTTCCCTAAAAGGCTTGTGAAAAGTTTCTTCAATTTGAACAAATTAGGATGATTAAAAGTTTCTTTGTGGCAAAAATAAGTTTAGAGAATTCAGAGATATGAAACTGTACCTGTGGTGTAGTTTGTAGTCAAATCTTCTTCCACATTAAAACCAAGATTATCAGCTTCTGCTTCATCTTCAGAGGCTAAAAAAAATTTGGAGAGTAAGTCTGATAGTTGGGTAAGTAAGTATTTAAGAGTAAGAAACCGTTATCGCTAAACCCACAGTAAAAAGCCTAAATAAGAGTTGTGTAATTTTAAATTCCAAAACTTCCTGAAGGATACCACACTGACAACTTCTACTGAAACAATGTCTCAATGAGAAAACAATATTGATTCTCCTATGCTAATTGTCTAGAAAGTGTTGCTGTTGAAGTTGAAGCTTGCCACAGGAAAAGTCATTAACATAAGCTTTTCTTTCTACCTCCCATACATAAAAAAAACAATATTGACTGTTACAGGATGTGTTTTTAAACGCAACCCAAGTTACAAGTACTGTAAGACACATTTTGACGACAAAACAAGGGCAAGTGTTGGTATCCCTGTGTTCTATACTTCATTGCCAATCAGATAATATGCATTGTTGCATAGTTATCTATGAGAATTAGTGTTATTGGGAATTTATTGTTAAATAGCTGTACTCGCGGGCTTTGCCCCGTTTTACTTCATAAGTGAGCTCGTTTGCATGGCTCAATCACGTCCTGGTTGAAGTTCGTTCGCTACGCTCACTCACCTTTAGAATGGAGCTCGTTCGCTGCGCTCACTTGCCTTCAGGTTAGCTCGTTCGCTACGCTAACTCGCCTTCAGGTTGAAGTTTGTTCGCTACGCTCACTCAGCTGTACCCACGGGCTTTGCCCCGTTTTACTTCATAAGTGAGCTCGTTCGCATGGCTCAATCACGTCCTGGTTGAAGTAATTGTTGCATAGTTATCTATGAGAATTAGTGTTATTGGGAATTTATTGTTAATAAGACTCAACATGAGGTTTTCACAAGCTCATATAAAGTATGCACCCCATTGTTGGTCTGTTTATTTAAATATTAGAAAAATTGATTTATTAAGTATTGAAATCATACCTGGAAACTTAATTTCAAACCTTTTTTGGCATAAAAACAATTATTTACTTTTAATGTATTCTTCAACAATACCCTGATAGAATATTGTACTGTATGTCTACGTTTATGGATTTTCTACAGATCCGATTTCTTGATACAGTATATTTGACAATAAATCATTGAATGGTTGATTTTTTAGCCATTGTAATCATACATGGAAACCTGATTTCAAACCTATCTTGGCATTAAAATATTAATTTACTTTTAACCCTTTGGGTGCCAGAAATTTATTTTGGTACTTTCCGAAAAGTGCCAGAGTTTTTTTACTAGGTATGTCTGAAAAGTGCCAGGCTTTTTGTGGGGGCGAAGCGTAGTGCGCAAGAATAAAAATCGGTTAAAGTGTAAATTTTCATCCCAAAAGTGCCATGGAACGATATATTGTCCCTCGATCATTTGAGAAATCGATTGAAATCATTGTTGTTTTATAATAACAACCGAGTCAACCGATATGCCCATTAAATCACATTCTCGAAAGTCGCGCCGGCCCGATACATCGTTGTGAAGTATTTTTCAGATGTGTTGTGCAAAACGATATATCGTTGCGTGTCACTCAAAGGGGTAATGTGCAATAGATACTCTTTTTAGCATTGGGAAAACACCATGTTAAGTCTTATTCACAATGAATTCCCAATGACACTAAATTTCTTAGTTAACTTTCCAACAATGCATATCAGCTGATTGGCAATCCAGTAAAGAACACAGGGATACCAACA